ATTCCCCTATCCCCTATTGATTGCCCTATCCCATATTGATTCCCCTCTCCCATATTGGTCTCAGGTGTCCAGCCTGGACTGAGACACTTCAGTGTGGGTTAAGTGGGCATGGGAAGGCAGCAGGTCTTCGGGACATCATTAAATGTACCAAGCAACCAGTACCCAGGGCAGAAAACAGGAAGAGGGTAATGTTAAAGTACTGAGCACAAAAGTAGAATGGAGTAAATAGGAGCACATTTTGAATGTAGTAAAATACAAAAGATTTTAAACTGATAACCCATTTTAAAATAAACATCTGGAAAAAAAAGCCCGATTTAATTTCCACCAAAATCTAAGATTATAACAGTATTTAGCTAGGATGAGTAATTTCTATATATTTTTAAAATTCTATGTTAGAATATTTACTATGTTTCCTAAAATTACATTATTTTCTGACAAAGCAATTTAAATGTAAATTACATAAATCTTAATTACTTGTTCATGTTTTCTATTATATCTTATGCTGAAGAGACTATATAAAATTGTATCACAAAAAAGAATAAATTTTCTTTAAAACTGTAATAAACAAAAATTTTTCCATAGAATCTTTTCCTTAGAAAAATATAATTTCAATGTCAGGAAACAGAATTCATTAGAACTAAATGGAAGGAAGGAAATTCACACAACATACCCAGTGGGAAACTTTTTTGGAGTTTATTCTATTGTGTAATGACCGTGCTGCAATTGGTTGTTCTTCCTTAAGGGAAATAATATTTTCTGCACAATGTCTTCTATAACATTAGTTTGCTGGGAAAAGTTAGTAAGATTTCAAGGGGAAAATCTTACCTATTAAAGCATACAGCTTTAAGTCTATGAATTGCTTAGAAAATGAATACCTTGGAAATCTGGAAGTTCAGGAATAATAAAAATAAAACTCATGACCTCAGGTCTTAGTTTTAAGTGTTCACATAGTGGCCCAGTCACGAACTTTGGAGTCAGATGGCCTGAGCCTACGTTTCTTAAAAACCAAATGCCATTTAAAAAATACACATATCTGCAAATTTTTCTCAAATTCTAGGCTCCATTTACGCACATCTAAAATGAGATTGATAATCCTAGTTTTAGAGTTTAAAGTACTCTGATATATATGGTACCTGGCATGGAGGAGACACTACTTAAGGAGGTCATCTTAATACCAGATGCCAGCATTTAATGACAATTACTGAGTTCAAAGGTCAAATGCTACTTTTACAGTAACAGCATGGTCTTACAGATTAGATTAACTACTGACCCACAGCTAGACAAACAATGTTGGGAATCCTTCACTCTCAGGTGTAAGAGAGGGTAGAGGTGCAGAGAGAGAAAGAGTAGGGATAGGGAAGAGGGAGGGAGGGTGGGAAGAAGGAAGAGAGGAAAGAAAGAAGGAAGGGAGGATGGAAGGAAAGAAAGAAAGAAGGAATAAAAGGGACTGCAGAACTAAACTTGACTGGGAAATTCATCTGTTCCTCTTCTAAGGTACGTAGTATTAAAGAAATAAAGACTACCAATCTTCTCTTATTTTCTATTATTTCAACTATAAAATAAAGATATTGTTTACTTCAAATAATTGGTATGAAGCTAGAGCAAGATAAACAAAGAGGCTAGCGCAAAGCCCAACAAGCACATAGTAAATGCCTACTATGTGAGAATGGAATTATCATTTGTACTTTACATGTGTGCATACACATGCACATGCATGTCGCATGTGTCATATTTTTTAATATACAAGTGGGATATGCTCACAGACAATCGTTACTATACTTACCTTATCCTCATCAGTTCTGACAACCCAGAAGCAGTTAACATCATGAACATAGGTATCGTCAGGGCTCCGGTAAGCAAAGGTTCCTTGTGTCCCTGAGAGGACCCCTCCACAAGCTGGGGGAAAAAAGAAAAAGAACTGTGTTTTTCATAGATTACCAAAAGGAGGAGAGCAGGAACCTCTGGCCCACAGTTTCCTCTTCTCTGCCCCTTTCTGTTGACATCAAGCCACACAGTCCTTGTATCTACAGTCCATTTCATTCCCATCACATTTTCCACGAACTTTACTTGATTCCTTTATTTCCTTTGGCTATTGTTCTCCAAACCTTGATGAACTAGATTTACCCCACATGATTGAACCACAGCATTAATTCTTCCATTTTATGCTGCCACCTTCCTGCTGCCCTGTGGTCATCTTAGCTCCTTGACTACTGGTGAGCAGATAAGTAGAGAGGATGTTTTACGCTTCTGCATTCAATCATTGTCCCAAACATGTAGTAACATCTCAACGAATGCACTGACTCAAAAGCAGGACTAAGAAGAGATAGCATGGTGTAGTTAGAGGTGACATGATGAAGAGTCTGAATGAGGTGTCTAAGGACTAATCACGTCTGGATAGGAAGTGAGGAAGCAGTTTCTGGAGGTTGTAAAGAGAAATATCCCTCAAAGAAAAACACACACACACACACAAAGATAATACTCGTGTGGTCCATGGGACTGAGTAGAAAAACAAGCTGGCTGCAATGAGAATATTTATAGAGCACTAGAGAAATATATGGTGATTTGGACAGAGTGAAGGTTGTTCATGTGAGATAAGTGAAAAACAATCTGAACCTTGCTTAACTGGGCAAGGAAGAACGGGGCCTCAGGAACTAGGAGAGTGATGAGTAAGGGAGAAAGCATTCTGTGAACATTAGAGGCCTGGCGTGCAGGAAGTGGCCCTAGGAAAACAGAAAGGGAAATTCCTGAGTATGTGGTACATTGTCCAAAGAATATATCAAATGTGGAAATCACTAACAATGTCTTTGAAGAAAAATGTTTCTTGTTTAAAATGAGGTTTATAATTATCTGCTTTGCGAAGTCTATGCTATTTCTGCAAGGAGAAATCTACTTCTCATCATCTAAACTGGTGAAGAAACCAGGTTACACTGGCAAATATGCAAAAGGCCTCCTGGAGGATGGTCCCTCCAAACTGTGTTGACTGTTTGCATACCTCGCTGGGGAATCTGACAGAAATACCCAGTCCAGGAGCTCGGGCAATCACAAGTGAAGCTGTTGACGCCATCAATACAGGTGCCGCCATTCAAACAGGGGCTGCTCAGGCACTCATTAATGTTTTCTGTGCAGTTGGCTCCAGACCAGCCTGAGTCACACTTACAGAAGTAACCAGACACTGTTTCCTAAGAAGAAAATAGAGCACCATACTATAAATCAAGTGGCTAGACGATATAACAAAACCAACCCAAATCATGAAAAGAAGTGATAACATATGGTATATATTTAACAGATATTGAACTACAGATTATATATTCAGTAGACAAATTCATTAGTTACTGAGTATATTAGTCATATTTATTTCTATAACACTATAGGTTTTTCTTACTATTTTGAAAATCATTAATAAAAAAATTAACTAAATGGGGGCTGAAGATATAGCTCAGAATTTAAAAGAGGTTACTGCATTTTATAAGACCAGAATTCAGTTCCTAGCACCCATTCAGGCAGCTCACAACTGCCTATAATTCTGCTTCTGGGGAATCTTGACACCCTCTTGACTCAGTACTCACCCACATGCACATGGAGCACACAAATTCATGGAAAAACACATATACCCATAAAAAATAAGTAAATAAGTAAGTAAGTAAATAAATAAATAAATAAGGTGGTTTTTTTTTTGTTTTTTTTTTTAAAAAGCAACTGATTGGTTTATTGGTTTTCCTGAGACCCAAAGTTACTACCTATCTGTAATCGGAGATTGAGAGACCTTAACATAAAGCTTGAATCATTATCTTAAAATTTATGGCTGAGCTGTTGTAGTGCATGCCTTTAATCCCAGCACTCAGGAGGAAGAGGCATGTGGATCTTTGAGTTTGAGTCAGCCTGGTCCTACAGTCTGAGTTCCAGAACAGCCAGGGATACCCAGAGAAATCCTGTCTCAAAACAAATAAACATACAAAAGAAAGAAAGGAAGGAAGAAAGAAAGAAAGAAGGAAGGAAGGAAGGAAAGAAGGAAAGAAGGAAAGAAAGAAACAGAAACAAAGAAAAAAAGAAACAAAGATACAAAAATCCTCCCACCCACCCCCCCAAAAAATGACTTATGAATCATACAAAATAAAATGGTAAAGACATGATTATTTTCAAGTTTTTTTCTCTCCAGAAAGAGCAAGACTCACTATGCATTGTCCGTTTACACACGGGTTACTTGAGCAAATATTACTGAGTTGTACACATCCATTAGGCCCGTAACCATTTCCTGTATATCCAGGAGGACAGGTGCAGAGAGGCAAGAAGGATCCTGCTGAGAAATAAAAATGGATGTGTAAGTGCAGATATCCTTGGTTCAGAGGCAGTCATGAAATTCAATTCTGGTGTCCAGATAAAAATCCACCAACATTGGGCGCATTTATTCCTATGGACAGGCAAGACAGAGCAACAGGAGAAATGACTAGAATCTTTGCTTTTTCCATTTTATCTTAAAACGAAGCAGTAAGTGTTTCTAATTTCCCATCTATAAGTTTGCAAGTATGCTCTCATCTCATATGACAGATGATCTAAGGCTACACACAAATAAGGAGGGAGTATAAAAAAGAAAGTGAGAGTTCTTCACAAAGGGATGTTTAGTAGAAAATAAAGAGTTTTATGGCGCAACAGCGTCTGTTGCAAGCAATCTTTATCTGTGGCTACACAGATAGATTACTCAGTCCTCCCAATAACTCCATAAACAGATCCTGCAATAAACATTTACAACTTCACAGATAAAAACAGAGCACACACAGAGTGCCCGGACCAGGGAGACACAGTCTGAATGTGAAGAGTCAAGAGACACTTTCTGGCTGTGGCCCTGGGGATAGCACAGGATTATCATTAAACGGGCAGTTCTCGTGTTCCAGCACAGGCACATGCAGACTGCACGTGCGCACTGGTTCATTACAAATAAATTTGACGCACTCGAAGGATCTTGTAGAGAAACCACAGATTAAATAACATACTAATACAATAAACAAAATGCAAACACCAATGTTTCTTCAACAGGTTTTCTATCTCTTCACTTCCATGTTAGATAATTTAAGCAATTGGGCTAGAGAGATGGCTGCGAGGTTAAGAACACTGACTGTTCTTCCTAAAGGTCCTGAGTTCAATTTCCAGCAACCACATGGTGGCTCATAACCATCTGTACTGAGATCTGGTGCACAGGTACACATGCAGGCAGAACACTGTATAAATAATAAATAAATAATTTTTTAAAAAAAAAGAAAATTTAAGCAATGACAATTAAAATGGTCAGAGAGAGAAGTTGGCCAATTTTTTAAATTATTGTATCTTTCAGTACCACTGATAATTATGAGGGAGATAAAAGGTAAAGATAACATTAAAACATCCATGATTTTTCAATTTTATTCTGTCATAATGCCTAGCACAAGTACCCCTTTTAGTATTTTAGAAAAGTCCACTAAATGCAATACCCAAAGACTTTCGGATTCCTTAATTACTGAAGGTCACATGTCATTGAAGAAATACATTGTTCTTATTACTATAAAATAGCCAGACTAATACATGAAAATTAATATGATGATTAATTTGAGCACATTCCAGCACCAGTAAATACTGATGAAAATGGATAGACAGTCTTGCTGAAGAATTCAAATGGAATAAATTATGTAACATGATCAATTTACAACATAAATAGATATTGATGTTTTTATGCCCTCTGGTCATAATACTTGCAAGATATGAATTTAAAAATAAGACATACAGCTATCTTTCCTGCATAAAGATACGTTCTTTTATTAATTTATTTCTTTGAAAGTATTAACTGAGGGAAAGCGTAAGGACTCGGACAATGCTACACTTTGCCTGGACATTGCTGCCATTCTTCAGGCAAGGTCACAGGCTGTAGTGAAGATCAGAAAGGAACAGGGAATTCTACTTCTCATCAGCTAAGACACAACCAGTCCTGGCCATAAAAATATTATTTTCATAAGTGTGTGTTTCATTTTGGTCTCTCACCGCCATGAGTTTGCACAAAGAAGAAATGGAGTGTAGAGGCATGAGATGTCTTGACCATTGTCAGACAGGAAGAGTATGATGGGACCAAGGGAGAAATCAAATGGTTTTCTCTGAGGAACTCTGCTCCTGACCTCATCACTACTTTGTTAGTCACTTAAGAAGCATTTGGTAACTTGTATGTATAAGATGTGTACAACAATGCACGCATAGCCCTGCGTATGTATTCTTATCTATTCATGCACATTGAAGGTACATTAGTAAAAATTTGAAAGATAAAGGAATATGTCATATTTAATAGATGAGGAGAGTTTTATCAATTTGGACAAATATCATCTAGGTTTCCATTTAATACATAAGTGAACAGTAGATTATAAAACTATCAAAGTTCCTGATGTTTTCAAGAGAAAACACAAGAAGAACATGACTAAATGATCTGTAAAGAATTCAATGGAAAGACCTTTCTCAATCTGAAGCTAAGGGAAAAAAAATAAGAAAACTACTTTGTTCTTTGTCGGTAAAATTCTTACGCCTCTAAATAAAAAATAATACTAATACAAAATCTAGAGAACAGCATGCTATGAAGAATGTGTTGTGAAACACAACATAGATGGGAAGATGATTTGCTCAGTACAGTCAAAAACTGCAAGCTAATAAGAAAGCAAATGAGCAATGTATATGAGAAATAGAAAAGCTGATCAATAAAAAAATGAACATTCTTATTCATTAGTCACCAAAAAAGCAGAGTTAAAGGCTAACCAACTATCTATTGGCTATAAAATAGATCAAGTCAAAAATATGGTCGCTGTGATTGTGATAGCTGGGCTACATACACATTTCAGGGACTGTTGGCCGGGACAACAATGAGACAATTGTCAAAGAGGTATGTGGCCGCATAGATGAGCTGGCCCTCTTTTGTGGAGTACCACAGTGAGATCACCTTGGATCCACTTCCCCATCCTTAGCAGCAAACTCTGTATTTCAGCTGGATCCATGATGTTTGATATAAATGCTATATATTCTCTGCTGCCAGCTGTAGCCAAATGGAACAATTCCAGCCAATGGCACATAAATAAAAGTCATAAATGAAGGTGACGAGTCCTTCTTTCCTTTCTCTCTCCTGCTTACTAAGCTATTAATTTATTATTTGGCTTAATTATCATAGGAAACATTCTCTAGTCAAAGTATATCATTTAAGCGTAATTAGAGTGCGGCGTTTAAACATGTGTAGGTGTTTGAGCTAGATTAGATTTTGGTTAGAAGATCAAACAAGAACTTTAATAATTGTAAGTGGTAACTCATGTCTGCAACACCAGCACTTGGGAGGCTGAGGCAGGAGGATTGTATGATTTCAAGGTCAGAGGGGCTACAGAGCAAGACTTTGCCCTGCAAAGGAATTTCAAGAAGAAGGAATTTAGTTTTAGAATGCGGAATTGTTCGGACAAAGAGGGGCGAGTCATCACCTAGGCCAGGAGATGAGGAGCAGGTCGCATCGGGGTGGCAGCCTCCGTTATGGATCGAGCAAATGTCCAAGGGATTGCACACTCTCCCATCGCCGCTGAAACCTGACCAAAGCAGAGCAGAGGGTGAGGAGCCATGTCAAGAATATGGGAGAAAGACAATGTCTGTCTGAGATTAGAATCCCGACAACTGACACTGCAGAGATTCTGTCGTCCAAGTAGACAGGACAAGAAACTCCACTGACAGAAGCCATCAACAGGAAAGAGGACATGATGAGTTAAAGAGCTCACGAACAGCACTGTGACTTGGTGTGTGTATGTGTGTGCAGGTGTGTGCACATATGTGTGTGCATGCACATGTTTGTGTGCACAGCTGTGTGTGTACGCCCTTGCATTTGTGTGTGTGGGGGGGTGTGCTTGTAACCATGGGGTGTCTTAAAAATGGCTAGCTCTAAACTGACACATCTTAATTTCAGTGGCTAATGTCCTTGGAGACAAATTATTATAGCTGTCTGAAGTATTATTTTTCATGTTATTAAAATACCTGGGAGGGCTTGGACAGATAAAACCATGATTGGGATATACTGTATGAAAATTTATTTTCAATAAATATATAACATATATATTTTTATATAAAACCAAAGGGGTCAATTTGTTGCCCAGAACTCTCTGAACTTCTTGGAGACTAGTTTTATTTAAACTAGAGGACAGCCAGAATGACTTCTTTCCCGAAGAAAAAGGGAAACAACATGTGTTGTATCTGGGAACAGTCCGCAGCGCACGCATTAAATAAATGGGTCTGTGTGGGAACCCTGGAGTGGTGGACCTAAAGATTCTCACAGAATTCCACTGGAGTGGCGGGCCTAAAGATTCTCACAGAATTCCACTGGAGTGGCGGGCCTAAAGATTCTCACAGAATTCCACTAGAGTGGCGGGCCTAAAGATTCTCACAGAATTCCACTGGAGTGGCGAGCCTAAAGATTCTCACAGAATTCCACTGGAGTGGTGGACCTAAAGATTCTCACAGAATTCCACTGGAGTGGCGGACCTAAAGATTCTCACAGAATTCCACTGGAGTGGCGAGCCTAAAGATTCTCACAGAATTCCACTGGAGTGGCGGGCCTAAAGATTCTCACAGAAGCACTTCCCACCCCTGTGTTTTCTCACTGCTTGCTGTTGCTGCTGGCACTGTTTTCACTCCTTCCTTAGTTTACTGGAACTTAAAGACCCCCACCATTCCTTTTCTTAGAAATCATTTTAAAGTGAGCACAGATTCTCCTGCAGGTGCACTGCCTTGATGGCATCGGGAGCCTGGTGTAGTACCTGGCGGACAGTTCCCACAGGCAAAAGATCCAGGCGTGTTGTGACAGGGGACAAGTGGAGCCGTGGAACAGCCGCCATTGTTTATCTCACATTCATTGATGTCATGGCATTCATAACCATTTCCATGCCAGCCTAGAGAAAAATTATGAGAGGATTTGAAAGATCAGTGCTTGCTAACAACTTAACAAAGAAGAAATACAGATAGTTAAAGCATACACAAAATAGTTTGGGCTTGGCAACATGGCTCAGCAGATAAGGATGCTTACTGCTAAGCCTGATCATCTGAGTTCAGTCCCTGGGACTCACGTGGCAGAAGGAGAGAACTAACTCCAATTTGTTCTCCGACCTCTATAGGCAGATGCATGTACCCTCCCCTACTAAAATAAATAAATAAAATAAACATTTTAACAATAAGAAAAATTAATGAATAAAATTTTATTCTACACAAAACTATAGATTAAAATGAGTATTCCTAACATGTTGTCAAAAAATTTGTAAGCTCCCTGGAGTCTGGTTAACAGCTAACCAACATCACAGCAGTGCTTTGCTCATGGCACATGCTGAGTTCTACGATGATCTCGTATAGTTATTGTAGTACACTGTAGTGAGGTCAGAGTTCAGCTTCTTCAGCTACTCAACACAGTGGCCTCACCTAACAAGCCAATCCTTGGGGCCGAGGAAGCAGCTCACCTCCATTTATACCAAGGCTATAGGATACTCAGGACAGTCGAAAGCAAGAACTACTCTTGTAGCAGAGACACAAAGCAGTCAAGAATTTGCCCAGATTCCTAAATAGCTGAGTAGTAGGAGAAGCAGGGTTATAGTGCACAGCTTTTAACTGCCAGCCGACAGCCACAGCAAGGCAAGGTTAGACCCTTCAAATGCTATGTCCAGTTGTGCCCCAAAGTTGGATGTTAGCACACTCTGTCAAATCTCCAGCTCCACCAGGGACCTGCTCTAGCCATAGGAGGACACGCAGTTAGGTTTGGACATTTCTGAAAAATAATCCTCTTATCCATCAGTAGTAGAGAAAAATAGATTTTCCTTGTCTGGTGCCTTGTCTGTGTGGTATCCAGAGCCTAACATGTGTCCCCAAGAAAGTACCTTTCGGGCAGGCCCCACAGTAGAAGGAGCCTTGTGTGTTGAAACACTGCGCCTGTTCTGAACAAGGCGAAGGCTGGAGGCTGCATTCATCTTTGTCCTCTGTGCAGGCAATACCATTTGGCGGCGTTGTCCACCCAGCATCACAGATGCAGTGAAAATTTGGCTGGCAGGAAAAAAATAAAGTAAATAAAGGCAACCAGCTATTTATTGTCTAACATTCATTCAGATCAGGGCAGTTGAGTGGATTCTCTTTTTCTTCCCATATGATTTAAGCATTTAGACTAGACCATGGAAAAGGAACACCTTTATTTCAGGATAAGAGGATCCTATAATTTATCCCACAGATGCCCAGGAAAGAGCAACAATAATCAAGAGCTGTAATTAAAGTCAATGAGCTCAGTCAGCTATGTACTTAAAGGTATAAACACCCAAGTAGGCACAGACTTTGGACAATCATTTCCTTTTTGACAACCTCTTCTCTTCCTCCCACCCTTCCCTTCATTCCTTCCCCTACTCTCCTACTGCTAGAAGGAACTGTTTTCCATCACTTAAGAATTTTAAAAAATGAGTTAAAAATAAATAACTAAAATTCTTACAAAATATCAAAATTGGTCAGGCTACCCGAGAGGTAGGTGTGTAGGACCCAGAGCAGAGAGGGACATCAGAGATCTAGATAGACCCATAACGTCTGCAGGAACTCAAGGCCGGAAAAATCTAGACATAACATGTTGTTGACACAAGTCAGAGCCTGTAATGTTTGCATGTCTTGTCACTGTTAAGCCCACAGGCCAGGATGTCATGCCTCACAGAGAGATCCATGAAGGAATAAGAAGGTTCATATTTTGCATGACAAATTAGTTTCTCTTTTCTGAGTTCAGTTTTCTGTATAGGTCACCTCCCTTTTCACCTGCTAAGGGATGGAAAGGCCTTGACCTCTGCAGTCTCTCGCAGGGCAAAGCTGGTACAGAGTCAGTAGTAGCATGGGGAGTGAGCCACTGTGGGGAGCCGAGAGGAAGGGACCCACCTGTCCATGCTGCACTCGCACTAAGTCCTCACAGATGCCATGTTTACAGAGCTGCCGAGAGCCTTGTTCACAGTCGTTATATTTAGATACACACAGAGGTCCATACGTATCAGGTGTGCAGTCACATCTGTTGGTTATACAAGGGCACAAGGTCAGAGTTTGTGTTTTTAATAGCAGATCCTGGCTATTGGCATCAGTAAAAGATATCTACATTGCAAACCAGAAAAGTTAATAATAAACCAGCATTGCAGTTTTGTCAGCTGCAGCCTTAGAATAAAATTCCCCAGTTCTCCAAGCAGAGCATTGAATGGATGTGATATCTCTGCAAATCAACTGTTAGAGATCATGACTCAGTGTTTCATAAGGCTAGCGCAATAAATTATTTTGCTCTCAGTCATCAAACAATCCTCTCAAAGGTCAGAGGTCTGTAAATCACGGGTGATGGAGTTCATTCAAGAAGGGAAAAGGAAAGATCAGCAAGTTCACTAAGAATTCATCCTGTGGCACAGGTGATGATCTATGCCAGCGGCCTTTCTATTACAGAAGACAATATGTATTCTGTCAGGAAGAAATGCAGTCGATAGGACATTTTGTTCACAGACATATCTTAACAATAACAAAATATAATTATCATATGATACCTAAATACTAGGAAATGCTCTATCACTAGAAAATGTGACATGTGGGATAAACAAAATCAAATGAGAAAAGTTTAAGTTATTGTGGATCTTTAAGTTGCTGGCTTAGCTGTAGATCTGCAAAGCAGTAGGAAAGTGGGCTTGTAAGGTAGAAGCATAAAGGTTGGGTGGTGTGGTAAGGGATGAAGGACTCACACAGGCTAAGTGTGAGCACATCCTAGAGAGTGAAAAGCCAAGCCTAGAGGTCACTGCTAGATTCCAGCAGAGAGTCATCCCGAGGGAAACTGAGTGTCAGTGAGGATGCCAGAGACGAGGAGGGAGTGTCTGCAGAGCATGTCCGTCTTTCATGCCTGCAACCTGGAGCTCGTTTCTGACAGCTCTGGGAAAAAAATGGTTTACAACAAAGTAGGACGTTATCTTAGCAATATGCATAAAGGTAGCAGCATGTTACCAAGATGTCAATGTGTGGGTGACAATAGTGCAGGGAGTGAGTTTGAAAGCAACCAGAATCCAGGTCTAGATCAGAACAAGGCATGCCATGGTTAAACCTAGCAACAATTGCTGGGATGACACCTTTGAGTCATTTAAAAAAAAAGATCAATGTGTGTTGCCAGAGATGGACAGTAAGTGTGTAGAGAGCAGCATCCATTCAGGGTCAGGTAGAGCTGCCAGACTTAGCAACTGAAAACACTGGGGACATAGTTAAATTTCTGTTTCAGGTAAATGAAAATTTTGTAAAATATATTAAGTATGATCTGTGCAATTTATAGCACCACTACATAATTATACAAAAGTTATTTAATTAGTAAGTTATATCAATGAACATTACAGGATTTCTTTTCTCATTAAGACCAGATCATGAATTAAGAATAATCAGGGATTAAAGTTATACTTGGATGCTAGCTCCCCAGTTAATAGCTACTTGCCCTTTTCCATACTTTCCTTTATGCCCTGTTCTCTTTCCTCTTGTCTATCTCATTTTTACAAAGAATACTCTTCCAGAGAATTTAATCGCATTTTTTGGGATTACAGCAATTTTGAGCATTTCTTATACATATTTAAGCATTTTGATTCATTGCTAAATGTTTTTCTGTTTTCTCCATACATTTGTCATGTAAAAGACAACTCAGAACCAATTATTACAAGTTTTCAAAATGAATTTTCTATACAAGAGATATTAGAGTGTTTAGAAAGCCCGGGGACAAAGTGATGCAAGTTTAAATCTTGAAAATTGTATTAACCATTCACCTCTGTCAATGTACTAACCAACTCATTCATTACTCCTCTTCTAAAGGCATTCCTCTCTAGGAAGTACTAAGAAATGTGTTTCTCTGACAGCTAAGTACTTAACCAGTGGAAAATTACTTAAGATGCCAGAGGAGATTTTGGCCATGCACCCAAAGGCAACCCTTTCTGCTTAGCTCTCACTTCCTTCTTCCTAGCCATTATCGCTTGAAGATGAGTGGACATTAATCTTATATGATTTTTTAACCAGATACAAAGTAGACTTCCTCCACTTAAATTTAGATAATAAGAGACGAGGGAGGAGGAAAATGAAGAAAAAGAAGAAGAGGAACAGGAAGAGGAGGAGAATGAGAAAATAAACCAAGTGTAGGCTTCCTTGCCATGATTTTCAAAAGCAAACATGTTCATCATGTTTTATAGGCATGCAGAAAATAAGATTGCCTACAGACACAGAACCAATATGTGAGAGAAGATGAACAGAAACCCTGGTCTGTTTTGCTCCACTGTTTGTCCATGTCCCATTTCCGTTCTCAGGAGGAAAGTAAGTGAGTGGGAAGACTTTTCAGTTGTGTGTCTTTTTTAATATAACAGCATTTCACTGTGAAATATGTTTTCAAAGTGACTCAGTATGGCTTTTAAAAAGAAGAGTAATTCATCATATGAAGCAATAATAAACCATGTGTGTATTTTTAAACTACCTTACTCGTATTCCTGCCTTTGATATTAATTCTTTTTAAATTTCATTTATTATGTATGCATGTGTGTGTACGAAGTGTGGGTTGGAATGTGGGTATGTACATGCCACTCTATGTGTTGAAGGCAGGAGGCAGTTGTCTCCCACTGTAGGATCCAGGGATCTTATTAGGTCATCAGGTTTTTGCAGCAAGTGTATTTACCTGATGAGCCAACTCTCAAGGCCTTGGTTGCTAGTTCTTGTAACAGCCTTTTATTCTTGGTTTGTTTCTAGTAGAATAAAACTAGGCTTTTCAGTTTTCAGAAACTAGAAATGCACTTGTCAATTGAGAAGACACCAAATATCCTTCATAGTCCTAGTTAACTTGTCTTAGAGTCCATGGCTCAATATCAGTATACTGAATAACTGAAAGAGATAATAAATTTAATACCTAACTAGCATCTGATACCAAACGAGACTATCTTCACTACTTAAACTTTGCTGTGTTTTAAAATCTGCCAATAATATAGATACAGGAAGATACATCAAATCAGCACCGTGTGCCTGGGGAACAAGCACAGCTTATTTTCTTCCTAGAAAGCCTTGTAGGTCTGTACATATACCATCCATCAATGGCAAGATCAGACCCCAAGAGCTTTCCTACATACAAAGCAAGTCAGGAGACAGTCAGGAGCAACTTTTCCAATGATGACAAGACAGCAACACTGAAAACTATCTTTTTGTTAGCTCTCATGGTAGCTGATGAATGGGGAGGGGAATGTGAGAAGGAGGGTGGGACTGGGAGGAGAGGACGAAGGAGCCTACAACTGAGATGTAAATTGAATTAATTAGTTTAAAAAAACTTTGAAAAAAGAGAATTCATGGAAGAAGATAAAATTTTATCTTACCCTATACTCATCACTCTAAGGAAGAACCTTTGCCAAAAAAGAAAAAAAAATTTCTATGAAACAGGGATCCAACTAGTTAGTATTTGCATTGCACCTCATCTTCTCAAAGGCATTTATGGTTATTGATTACTAATCTTGTTAAGAAAGAATTCCACTTCCCCCAACTACAGTGACTCACAGCCTTCTTTTAGTTGAGGCGGCCTCACACAGGAGCCATCTTTGCCTACCACGTCCAGACATTGCAGATCCAGGACATTTAACAGCAGCTCATGCTTTCCTTATCAAGTCCATGTAGCAGTTTCCTAACGGGGTTTCTAACTCCAGTGAGAGCACTGATTATTAAGCATTTTAATCTCTCATAATTAACAGAATACAAGAAATTATTTAAATGTTTCATTATTTTATTACATACAGACTCACAAAGCAATAACTAAATTTCATGGTCATAAATATTATGTATTTGTTTTATCCCTTCAAGAAGTTACTTGAGGGTGGAATGAAGGCTTAGTCAGTGAATTGCTTTTCTTGTAAGCATGAAGACCAGAATTCAATGCCCAGAATTCATTTTTTAAAAAGAGGGGGGAAAGTCTAAGCACAGTGCTTATAATCTCAGTATTGGGGCAGCAGAGAGAGGTGGACCCCTGGGTCTTGATTTCCTAGATGACTTGGCATTTTCCTCGCCAGTGCGAGACTATGTCTCATAAAACAAGGTAAGGGGTTTAGACATGGGTAGGTAGTTAAGAGCGCTGGCTGCTCTTCCAGAGTACCTGGGTTTGATTCCCAGCACTCACATGGCAGCTCACAGGCATCTGTAACTCCAGATCCAGGGGATCAAATTCCTCTCCTGGCCTCGATGCGCACCAGGCATACATGTGGTATACGGACATACATGCAGGCAAAGCACCAGGACACATAGAATAAAATAATAATAGAAATTACAAAACAAAACGAGGTGGGGGGGCATCGGAGGAGGGACATCTGAGGTCGTTCTCTGGTTTCCACATACGTGTGCACCTGTGGACACCCATGTGTGCACACTCACACAGCAAAGACATTCACACAGACGTCACTGGGGTACACCTGAAGTTATATGTTGATGGTACATGGCCTCATAAACTATTTTCACACCAAGAAGAAAGACAGAGTTAAATGCTCTGCTCTCAAATATGCCCCAGCAAATCGATGAGGTGGCGACTAGAGACAATGACCGGTCCTGGGTCAGGAGAAGCGTTTGTGCTTTACTTAACACAGGGGAACAAGAGCCAATCCAATACTGTCTTGAAGAAGGATGCTAGTTTGGAGAAACAACAAATGCTGCCTCTCCCTCTCTCCTTCCCTGTCACTCTCCCCCTCTTTTTCTTCCTTCCCTTGTGCATATCTCAACCTTGACATGCAAAAATTGTGAGTGCTACAGGCTCCCACCCACTTCCTGCCCACTTGTACTTTCTATGGGGGTATATATGAAAAATAACTCTCTGAAATAACAGCAATGGCTTGTGTGAATGGCTCCCATTCTACCCACACAATCATCACTCCACTTTCACAGAATGCACCAAAAGACGACGATGATAAAGGAAGATTGGAATGATATCTAATCTCCAGGACATTACTAGCTGTTGGGGAGGCAAGCAGTTATATGTGCCAGGAGTCAGGTTGGGACACTTGTCACTATATCTCCAATTGGAAATTCTGCTTGATAAATGGCCATAAACAGAAACCACGAGATAATGCTTTCAAGGGAATAACAGCAGTGGCACTGGGCATCATTTCAATTAGATCCAAAGTCCAAAAAGTCAAGCCCTCAAATGAATACACTGCTTGCCCTTCAAAGCTGTGGCTTTCGTTAATGCCTGAGCTCATCATTCCCCATATAAGCCTCCCCCACCCCAGATAACAGAACTAGACTTAAGGTAAAGGTGGTCATTCTGGGTTTTGCACAATAATTGAATTTATACATCTGTTTACCAGAACTTTGCAAGAGTCAGCTTTATCAACCCAGAGTGAACCAAAGCTTTAAAGCTCACATTAAAGAAACAAAAGGACTGTTTTCTCATAAAAAAACTTTTGAGGAAATGTGCTCAGAGATGACGGGGGTTAAAAGCAAAAGCCTACACTCATTTCTGAGGGCACTGTTACAAGACGCCATAGGCACAGGGAAGACGGCAGGTCGTTGCCCTTTAATCAGGTTAGATCATTCTGCAGAGTGATGAGCAGTCAGTGCAGCAGCAGAACTGGCTTCTTAATCCTTATGAAGCCGCAGGACACAGGCAAGCAGCCAAAATAAAACAGCAAAAGATGAGCAAAACACTACAAAAAGTGAGTCCTAAAGGGGGACGAGCTATGCAGCCAGTCCTGGTGAGGCCTGACAGGCCTGGGTCAAATGGAAGGGGAGGAGGACCTCCCCTATCAGTGGACTTGGAGAGGGGCATGGGAAGAAATGAGGGAGAGTGGGATTAGGAGGGGCTGATGGGGAGGAGCTACAGCTGGGATACAAAGTTAATAAACTATAATTAATATAAAAAATAAAATTAAAATTAAAAAAATAAAGGGAGACAAGCTGCCTGGGGACTGAGGCTGGGACCTTGTAGCTAATTAGATTGTGGTGAGTTAGCTGATTCTCTGGATGTTATGTCGATCTCTGATTTGTTCTGGTAAACATTTTTACATAGTGTGAATGAACCGCCCTTATTGCGGCTGTAAGCTTGCTAGTATACGGAACTAAACTAAGGCAGCTGTGGGACACGGAAGGCTGGACTGCACCCCTTCCACACAGACTCATCTCATAGCTGCCTTTTAAGGCTTTGGTTCTTGTTCAGGCATCAGCTCAATTTGTACTATGCTTTTCTGACTGCTCTGCGGCGGTCATGATACCTTCTTCTTCCTCAGCGATGCTGGCAAAATGACTTCTTCATGGGGTGAAAGGTTTTCATTTATTTAAGCAAAAATATCTATGAGCATATTCAATAAAAGCCAAGTAACCCCTGTGGGTTTTTCTGGTACTATAGACATTAATGTGGATACTTTTAATTATTTTTTGTTCTTGTCCTTCGGAATCACACATGACATTTAAAAAGAAATTACCTGAAACTCCCTATTGTATTCACACAGGTGGACCCACTCTGGCAGCCAAAGGGTGATCCTGAGTAAACTGCACACTCGTTAACATCGTCTGAGCAGAGAAGACCCTGCAGAGATGTAAAGAACTCAGTGAGTACACTTACACACAATGTGCTTAATGTACACAATATACCTAATGACATACGTGCACAGTAAGTCCTTGATAAGGCCAAATCCAACATTAATAACATTTTCTTGCGCTAAGATTCCTCTAGAACTCAGATTGGACCCAATGATACCAAGGATCTCTTCACGGGAGCACAGTGGTCAAAGGAGGAGAATCCTTACATAGACGAGCCCTCGTTTCAGAAAGGTGCTAGTGACTTAGCAATCTTTGTGTTGATGCCCATGCTAGCAGGGTTCCCACTACAGCTGAAACAGGGCAAGAATACTTAACATATGCACTCCAAGATTCAGCCCATGATTTCCAGTGCCGAACTATTTAAGCAATGCTAACAGCAGTATCATGCCCTACCATTTGATGTATTCATTTGTGAGAGTTGCCCAAGATAGCGCAGGGCTCAGTGGGTTAAATAGTCAACTTTGCCGCCATTTGGCACAATTCATTCAGACTCGTAAAGCCACAGAGTCCTGGAAACTTTAGTGGATAATGAGTTGTGTCTGAATGAGTCCAAAGAAGCAAAGCTGACTCACCTACCAACAGTTCTTTGATTTTTAAGTGGAAGACCAAATGACTCACCTCCCACTGCGCAGGACAGACACAAAAGAAGGAGTTGTGCAGATTGACACAGGTGCCACCATTTCGGCAGGGATTGCTACTGCAAACCTTTCTCTCCACGCTCTGAAAAACAATAGTGCAGTTAAGTCAGTGAGGGAATGGTGGTCGCCCTTGGCCCACAGTGAAGGGCAGGCTCAGGTGTGGGTTTCTCCTCATCTGTGAGGGCTTCCTCCAGAGTTCCTCCAGTGCCTCACATTCTTCTTCAGGTCAATTCCCTTGTGAAAATAGCAAGCATTCTCATTTTCCCTAGCCCTCTGCATCCTTCAGACATTGATGGGAAAGAAAATTCCCTGTTCCTTAGGAGCATCGTTCATCTGAGAAATGTGTGCTGCTAGATGGGAATAAAGGGTTAGAGTGTGGACGTAAGAATGGATGTTCCTGTTGCACTAAGAAAATGAAATGGAAATTTCCATTCTTTGACCTAGTGGTCTTATCTCAGGTACCTCTAGATAAGCCTTTGAAAACTGATCATCTTTTATTACTACCCCTCCAGCCACTGGCTCAGATGACTGGACTCTTTTCTCTCCAAGCCCCTTTGTTTGAAATGTGGCCAGCTAAGATACACCATTCACCTTCTGCTCACCTGACCGCGTTTAGGCCAGGGCAGCAAACAGGCCTACCTTTGTCCACAAAAGTGGGGATCTCGCCCTTCATCAGCTACCGGTTTCAATTCTGCATCATTTGTAAAGACTTGGGGGTGCAGAGGCAACTGCTTCAGAAAAGGCAAGTAACGATGCAGCTACGGTATTTTACTGTACTGTAAAATACTATTTTGAGTTTAGAAAAATTCTGTTTGAAACGGGGACAATGTTTGTCACATCCATACACACGTATCAACAAAGACTCAGAGGAGATCAACGTAGTTCTGTGGCCAGAATTCAGAGCTAGAAGATCTTCAGCTGGCCCAGTGCTGCTCACTGCAAAGCCCATCCTTTCTCTGCCTTCTCATCACTCGCAGGACTACACACACGTGTCTCATTACGAGCCCTGCTTTCTTTCCGAGTTTCGTTTGTCTTTGTTCCAGAACCAATGAGCTGCGTCCATGAAAGGGCCAAAGGGTGTTATTAAGAACATTTGCCACAAACTTAGGAGTTTTCTGGTGAACAAAAGCAATGCTATCTTTGGATTAGAAGCCAGAGGTTGGGGCAGGGGGGTGTCTAGCAGAAAGGTACAGAGTGGCAGAGACTGAGCTGACCTTGTCCTATCCAAAAGCAGAAAGAAATTGACTTTGGAAGCCATTAAAAACATCCTGAGTGGTGGGGGAGAGAACACTGAAAGCTAATTTTGATCATAATTCCAGCAGTGAGACTGGGAAGCACTGTAGGAGTTTGAAAACTCCATACTGCTGTGCTCCAGAACATTCACTATCCCTTGCTCATTCTCGTGTGCTCAGCTATTCCCTGCAGAGATGAAGGCTGAGGTACAATCCTTTGTCAAAGTGACGAAAAGGGACCATGAACTTGTCTATCAGGCTTAACTCCCACAGTGGGAGATAATGCTTGAATCAGTATGGAAATAAATCATGACTATTAGAGGAGACACTGCTAACCGGAAATTGCAGAAATGCCATTCAGGATTGTTAAGTATCGGTAGATTCTACACACGTCTTTGGACAGAAGGTTAAGATCTCAAAAGAAGTCTTAGTCATTTACCCACAAGGAAGGTGAAAAGCATAAACGTGCACAGTGGGGTATACAGGTGGCAAGGTTATAGTGAATTTGCTCTAGGAAGTGCTTCAAGCTGAATTACCAGCCAATGAGGTTTTAAGGAAATGAGAACAGTGCACACCCCCAGAATTCTGAGCTCAATTTGGAAAGGCTATGTGGCTTTTGAACCCCAGTTATTGATGCCAGTCGGGGGATCACTAGCTGACCAAGAGCACACAAATAAGCCCACTGCAGCATGGCTAAAGGAGGGCTGTGAACTCAGAAGCACATCTCACATTCTTCGTGATCTTAGGGTAGCATAATGCCCTCACATGCCCCTAGGGGACACAAGCAGTGACAGGACTCAAACAGTGGAAAATCAAGTTCTTGATACTGATCATGTATCCCGCAAAATTAAACTACTGCCTCTTAAACCATTGTTTTAGGCAAGGTTCCACGATGTATCCCAAGCTGGCCTGTAGCTCACTGTGTGCCCTGAGCTGGTTCACACTCTCTTCCTGGGAGTCTTCCCGGGTCAGCCTCCTGAGTCCTAAGTAGAGTTGCAGAGCAGCGACAGCCACATCTAGCTTAGAGAGGCTGTGTACACATTTGCAGTGGCTATGTGAGGTTCACTAAAAGTTCACTGATACTAGTTCCAGCACTTACCTGCTGTAAACTTTGAAAATTTCTCTCAAGATCCACGAGCTGTAGCAATGGGGAGGAAAATGCATCAATTAGCTAGCGCAAGGACATTTTCCCTACAGTGGTAACCTTTCCTATACTTCTTTTTTTTTTTTTTTTCACAGCCCATGCAGACTTTTTTTTCTGTATTAATTACACTTTATTCACTTTGTATCCCCCCTGTGGTTCTCTCCCTCTTCCCGTCCCAATCCCTCCTTTCCTCCACCCTCTGCATGCATGCCCCTCCCCAAGTCCACTGATAGGGGAGGTCTTCTTTTCCTTCCTTCTGATCCTAGTCAATTAGGTCTCATCAGGAGTGGCTGCATTGTCTTCTGTGGCCTGGTAATGCTGCTTCCCCCTCAGGGGGAGGTAATTAAAGAGCAGGCCAATCAGTTCATGTCAGAGACAGTCCCTGTTCCTATTACAATGGAACCCACTTGGATACTGAACTGCCATGGGCTACATCTGTGCAGGGGTCTTAGGTTATCTCCATGCATAGTCCTTGATTGGAATATCAATCTCAGAAAAGACCCCTGTGCTCAGATTTTTTGGTTCTGTTGCTCTCCTTGTGGAGTTCCTGTCCTCTCCAGATCTTACTGTTTCCCACTTCTTTCCTATACTTCTTTACACGTTGTTGGGTTTTCACTCATTACTTTTTTTCTTCCTCCTTCCTCTCCCTTCTGGTGTTTCTTTCCATCCCATTCCTTTCTGCCTGTAAATTTTTAAAGGTCTTAAAACAAAACAAAAGCACAACCCACTGATAAGCAGACTCATTGCTCCTTTCACATGGTGATTAAGGCACAAAGGACAGTGATAACCCCCTCCGTGGGTAAAGAAGATTCTGTGAGGACTTGCAGAGCTAGGTCTAGCAAGGAATCCCTGCCATAGCCCTTCCTCCCTCCACCCTCCTGCCACTCCCTAGCCTCCAGTATAGTAATGCCACAACCCCACAGTTCACAACGCAACAATAATCATCTAAAGATGAAACGGAGTTGACATGTCACTATGAGTGTAATGCCTGTGACAGCCTTACCTTGGAGTTAAGCTGCTGGACTTGAGTAAGTATATTTTGAGGAAGGCCAGTTGTATTCTTTTTTAAGTCTATAATAGCATCTTTGTTTCTCTGGATCTAATTTAAAAAAAAAAAGAAGAAGAAGAAGAGAAAGGAGAAGAATAACATTAGGAAAAAAACATTTCCATCGTATGGGAGAAAGCACGAAAGCCTCATTCTGACATTCTCCAGAGAAATACCACTTATAATAATTAGAATAAAATAGATACGGCACAATTCAATTGATTCTCTTCTATGCCAACATATCAATGAATTTTCTACATGCATTTCCCCATAATATAACATTTCACAGTACTTTTTAAGAAGTGTGGTGGGTTGAGGATACAGCTCAATGATACAGAACTTGCCTGATAAGTAAAAATCCCTGGGTTTAATTCCCAACACTACAAAATGCATGATTTTTGAATGAGACCTTTTGGATTTTAAATCTAGCCCCAATTTTTCATTGTGTATTTTTTTGTGTGTATTAAGCAGTGTACCATACTTGTAGCTCATTAAATGGAGTACTAGCAAACACCTTCATGGGGCTGCCTGAGAGTCAAATGATATAATATACAAGCATGTGACCTCTCTACAGCATTCAATGAAGCTAGAGAGTAAGTGAGCACGCTGCTATGGAACAGCGCTGCCTGCCTCTGGTCCCCTCTTACTTCCCTCCGTGGCAGGAGAGTTCTGTTTAACTTTCTGGGTCTTCTCTGGACTGTGAAACCTGCCCCGTGAAATGGCCTCCCCTTCTGGTATTGGTCCCTCTCTGCCCACCATGAAGCCTTTACATGGCTCCTTTTAAGAACTTAGCTTCCGGTTGTGAGAATGCTCAGGATTCAAAGTGCCCACTATTAGTGAGCTGGTCAACTGAGCTACTACATATAGACATACAAAGCAACACATGTGTTTTTCCAGCACCTTACCTGGTGTAAACATTCGCCGAGGTCTTCATCATTTAATTTGACTTTCCCCAGAGATCCAGTTCTAAATTCAATGTTTTGGGAGCTTGTGAGAAACACTAAATTCCCCCCCTCCGAGGTCATCCGAGGCCTGTACAATTCAAGCAGAGATTCACCAGAATTAGCATATCTACTTTTACGTTTTTGCTTTGTTTTGTTTTTTTCTCAGGGTTTGTTTTACAGGGTTTCTCTGTATAACAGCTCTGGCTGTCCTGGAACTCGAGCTGTAGACCAGGCTAGCCCGAAACTCACAAAGATCCACCTGTGTCTGCCTCCCGAGTGCTGGGATTAAAGGCATATGTCACCACTGCTCGGCCTAATTTTACATTTTAAAACCAAGTTTCTTGCTGAATAATGATAGACTTGCTCTATGTATTTTCACCCTGCATCCAACCCCACCAAATCTTCTCTGTTCATGCACCATTATTTCTCTGAGAATTTTTAAACGATATTTCCCTGGAATTGCAGATGTGACTCATTCACAAGCAGACAATATTGGTAGATAAGAAAACAATTCCTTATACCAGCCCAAATCTTCTCCCTGTTGGCTTTTAACATCACTGTTTTCCTCCAGAAAACAGTGGTTACATCTCTGGTTATTTGGTACAGACAGCGAGGAAGATACCCCGGTCTATAAGGAGAAATAAGCCACATGTCTACTTACTGGTGGAGATCAAGGACCCTCTTCTGTCGCTTCTGTTCAAGCGCCCCAGCTTCGCCATCCAATTCGGCTATCATCAAGAAAGTAACAAAAGCGCAGAGAAAACGTGAGGACATGTTCCTCAGTTCCTCCGCAGCCTCCCAGCTCGCCGGGCAAGAGGGAGACCACTCCAGCCTACTGAGTCCGGGAATTTGAGAGCAGCAGCCCAGCGGCTGGACTTTGATCAGCAGAATATTCTTTAACTTTGCGGTCTTTCCAAATAGGCTTAAGTTATTTTTTTCCTTCCTGAAGAATGTCAATGATCTTAGATCTTCAGTACTGTTCAACTTGCAAGGGTCAAAATCTATCTTAAGTCATGTACAAATTAATCATTATTTGTTTAACCTTTGAAACAGTAACCAGCTGCTTTGGAGACATCCACCGAAGGAATCCTCACTTAGTAGGCACTTGGCTTTTGATAAATGGTACTAGAGAAATAGAATTTCTGCAAAAGAAGTGATATTTTTTTCTTTAGATCTAATGCCATGCATAGATGTTACTGCTAAATGCTTTTCAAAGACCCAACTTTAAGAACTAAAACTATAAAAATTTTGGCATAAAACAGAAGTAAATTATGCTTCTGAATTTGCAAACATTTCTCAACCCTGAACAACAAAAACAGGAACAATAAAAAGAAAAGGAAACCAAAAAAGAAAGATTCTATGTCAAAATTCAAAGCCATGGCACATCAGAAGGGACACTTTTCAAGAGAATTAAGAGGTACTTCAGGGGAATAACTAGTCGGGGAGCCACTGTGAAGTCTTCTGTGCTCCAGTGAATAATCCCCACTCATGCTCACATAAGCAACCCTAGTTAAACTTAACACAGCACATACACTGCAAGGCATAAAAGCAGGAAGGGGGCTTTTTAGAAAAGGGGTTCAGTGGGAAGAGGTAGAAGATAGAGAGGGTAATGGGGGTATATATGACAAAATACATAATATATATATGCATGAAATTGCCAAAGAAGAAATGAAAGTACTTTGAAAGTCACTCAAAGAACTGCAGGAAATATTTGGAAACCATATATACCAAAAAAGATTAATATCCAAAATTTTTTAAAAAAAAATTCCACAATTCAACAAAACAAACAACATAATTAAAAAATAAGCAAGGGAACTGTAAGGGCATTCCCTCAGAAAAGACTCATATTCACGATAAAGATACCATTAGAAGCTCTGCTCATCAGGGGAGCCCCAAACAAAACCACAATGAGACAGAACTCCATACCCAGGTCGCTCAATACTACTGAAAAACAGAAAATGTGCTGGCAGAAACTGAAGGATATAAAAGGTGCTGCTTCTAGAGAAAACAACACAGAAGATCTTCACATTTCTAATGAGAATTTAACATATGTTCCAGGAATTTCACTAAGGAATTTTTATTTATTGTATTGTGATAATGTAGGCTAGGCTGGCATTAATTATGATCCCTCTGCCTCCTTCTCCAGTGCTGGAATTACAGGTTTAGGCTGCCACACCCAGTTTACAATAGAATGTTTTTCAGCCATAAAAATAATAATAATAACACACACTACCACATGGATAAAATAAACTCAGTACTTCCAAAATGAAAAACACCCACTCAGATTCTACATACACAAGGTGGCTGGATTATCCAAACTTATCAATACAGAAAACAGAACGGTGGTTCCCACAGGCAGGAGTGCAGGAGGATGAGAGCTCACTGTTTAACGCATGTGAAGCTCCACACTGTGAACCAGAGCAGTGATGGCTGACACATGAGCGTGTGCATTTACTGCCACTCAACTGCATTATTAAGATGTGGTTATGTATATCTCCCAGTGAATCTTACATCGTAACTATAGTTAGTCCTGAGCTTCTTCCATCTGTAGATGCTGCACATGAGAGAGAAGCTACCAGAGTCCAAGAGAAATTCCTAGGGGTATAACTCCGGGATCTACAAGCCCAGCAAGGAACTACCAGTATCAGCACCCCAACTTCTCCATCTCAGCAAGCAGTTCAAAGCCCATCCCAGAACTCTGGCTCAACAGGAGCTTTGACCAAGTCACCAGAAGCTCAAGGGTGTGCAGCAGCCTGGACAGACTGTAAGGATGGCTCGTCTTCTGAGATTTCTGGAGAAACGTCATCTCTGCCCCAGCATGCTCATCTGCTGATCTTTACGCCCATCCTGTTCCTCCTGCTCCTCTACTTGGGAAACACCCTAAATCACAAAAATCCAGTGTTCCTGATCTCCCCCCAACACACACACACACTGAATAAATAAAGAAACCATCCCAAGAAAAGATGTTCTTTCATCTAAATTCATTGTTCTCAAAAATACGAAAAGATAGTATTTGAAAAAATGCACTGCCATTTAAGTTTTAAGAATATTAATTTCTCAGTTTCTCAAGCTGTATCTCTTGACATAATGGAGAAACATGCAATTGTTTTAGGCCTGTCTTACTTGACCACTATAATCCACCTAACACAAACCAAAGAAAATAAATTTCAAGTTGATTTTCTTTTAAGCTGCTATTGAAACCAAATGATAATCTTGATATGGTTTTGCTTTTCTTAAGAGATAGAGATGGCTCAGCGGTTAAAAACATGTACTGTTCTGGCAAAGGGCCAGACTTCGACTCCAGAGCCCACATCAGTTAGTTCATAACTTTCTGAAACGCCAGCTCCCAAGGAGTTCTTACACCTCCGGCCTGTGTGAACACCTGTACATGTGCACATACTTGCGCACATGTACATAATTTTAAATATAAAATATTTTTAAACAGAGAGATAAGTATAATACAATAAATAATACCTGAGACTGAACACAAATGTTTCAAAATTTCATTATTCCGAATTTGCAATTCACCATTCTGCTAGGTCTAAGATCATACAGGACTAAAACTTTTTTAAAACTACTAGAACCCAAGACATTTTTTAAAACATGGAATGTTTCAGGATCAGGTCTTTGGTTCAAACCCCAAAATTCTTAGGAAATGACTAGAATAATGAGAGAAAAAAGTAGCAAAAAGGTTGAATAAGCAAAGTTTTTTTTTTTAATAAAAAAGAAAAATATGATTAGAGATGAAACCAGAAGTGTGGATCTGTTCTATGATGCTGCTGCAGTGAGGGGTACTCCCTCTCACAGCGTTTGTCATTGCTACATTTCCGGGCTCACTGTGTGCCAACCTCTGTGCTGAAATTTAAATGGATCTCATCATTTCATCCTTATAACACATAAGGAAATTTCTCTGACAGATTAATATCTCATCATTTCTTCTGACCTTTACCATTACCTTCTAAATTATTTTTTATTGAATTTAATTTCCCTGTGTCCATATTTCTAGAACACCTAATTTGTGTGAGACTTATGCATTTGGAAAATGTCAATTAATAAAAGTTAAAGAACTTTAACCCTGGGGCAAGATGACAGGGAAAAAAAAGCGAAGAAATAAATGTACAGGGTATTCTCAAATAAAATAAGTAGGATGAAAGGGTGATGTGGGAATAAAGGACAGACTTACAGTGAGTGGGTAAGATAGCATCTCTGTGGAGGGGGCACTTAGGGAATCGCCTGAGAAATGTTGACACCTACTCACCAACGTCTGTGAGTCCCCATCTCTGGGCCCAGGACTGTTTATTTTTCCACTTCCACTAAGCCATATAGACTGCCTACAGAATCTGCTACTCAGCTTCCAACTGGGCAGAACTTTCTTTCAGCTGAATGACACAGTTTGGGAGCATGAACTGCATGTTCTCCTCTGATTCTGTGCTCACACTACAGGATTTAGGATTAACGAAGATGTCTGTGTTTGAAAGGATCCTGATTAGTTCCTAATGCACTCTAGCCTTTTCATAAATACCCAGAAAAACATATACTAAGGGAAATAAAAACCAAATTTGAGATTTGAGGACCAGCCACATAAAAAAAAACTCTACTTTAAAAATATCTCTTGGCAATTACTGTTGTGTTGGTTAATATGCACATAGTTAAATGGGTGCTCTGTGGTCGAGGGCAATTACAGAGTATGGTCACAACGCCTTGTCTGCAGTACTCGAGTATTTACTGTGCTTAGTTTGTCTTTAAAGTCTTCCAAACTTCGCCTGCATATTTGGGTGTTGCTTTTTTGCTTTGGTGTCTGAACCACAGTCACACCGTGGGGCCTCATGTCTGGGCTGCTCCTCCTCAGGTATAGCAAGTGCTGTGATTACAGTTGGATGGGCACGGGCAGAAGGCTTTTGGAGGTTACCCTGGGGCTGCTTTTGCCATGGACTGCTTCCTCTTTATCGCAGAAGAGCACCTCATTGTATTTCATTCCTCTTCTTGCCTGTCTATTCATCAGCTAAATTGACTGAATTAGTTCCAATTCAGCATTATCATAAATAAAACAGTTATAAATACTCTGAAGGTTTGTGTATCAATGTGTATGTTTCAGTTCTTCCTGGTAAATATTGAGGGTAACAGCTGAGACATGGGAAAATAGTTACAGCTTTATTAGAATTATATGAAGCTATTTTTGTAGAACCTCCTTGTTATGTCTGAGTGCTCCAGTTGTTGCTATTGTCAGTGTTTAACTTTTAGCCATTTTAGTTGTTATGTATGATCAAAATGACAGTTTCCTAATGCATCTTTCTTTAATTTTTGTCATTTGTACATCTTATTTGGTGATTTGTATGTTCAAATATTTTATCTATTTTTAAATTTTTAGTTGTTATTTTCTTTTCGAACTTATAATACAACGTTGTTTTTCTATTTCCCACCTTCAAACCCTGCCATGCAGAGCTGAGCATTTGCTACTGGATAACCAATTTTATTTAAGAGTTAATATATCTAAATTCAAGTTTTCCCAAACATATCTTGCAAGTATTTTCTCACAACCTGTATACCACTATTCATTTGCTTAAGAATATTTTTCAAGTAACAGGATGGAGATGAAACAACAAAAAATAGATTGTACAGTAAATGATTACAGATGACATCATTTCATATGAAAAATGCAGAAAAGCCAAAGTTATATTAATAGAAATTAATCAGGAGTTGTTCAAGGTTGGGTGGGCGGGGCACTGTCATTAAGACAGTAGGAGGCAACATTTATGATAAAGATACCTTATTTGTATGATTTATAGAACTGCATGCTTAAAATACACAACCTCCTATGAGTGTGAGCTATAACTTTAAAAAAAGAATAAGATGATTTGTCATTTATTTTTGTTATTAGTTTGCTTCCACA